CTGCAGGTGCACGCTGGGCCGGGCAGGCACTGGGAGATCTTGGTGCACACCTGCTGGCACCCGTGGGCGTGCACACTCGCATGCAGACACGGGAGCACTCACACTCAGAGCTCACTGTGCGCTCTCGCCCACATGCAGTCATTCAGACGTGCGTTGCACACCTCAGCACGCTCAGGCACGTGCTTGGGTCCCTCCCCGCAGCCCAGCAGAGCCCACCGCTGCACCGCGTCACCCTGCCACCGCATTAGCACCCGCGCAGCGCCAGCGAGATAAATGGGAGCTGTCAGAGGCACCTTGTTTGCTGCTAACCTTTGGAAATGCCACACCGCCCCAGGCTGCGCTGTGCTGGGGGGAGCGGGCCCACGGGGATTGTCGCTCACCACCTCCAATTAATCTCCCTGCACTAACGAAGGCAGCAGGGTGACAGGGGAGAGAACGGCTTGACCCTGCGCCCATGGGGAGAGCTGGAGACCCCGATCCGCACGTCATCGCTTGCTCTGCCACTGACCTCCACCAAGGTGGGGGGATGGCTCAGAGCCGGGTGCAGGGGACAGGCTGGCTGTAGGGACAGGGCCTTTGGTGGGGGTTGTTGTGGGTGCTCTGCTCCTGGCACAGGCAGGGGCTGTTTTGCCTTGAGATGGTACCGCATCAATTGCGGTCCCATTCCCAGGGTGCTGGGAGCTCATCACAGCCTTCACTGGGGCACCCCGCCCCTCCGTGCGCTGATCCGCTCCCCTCTGCCAAGGTGACTGTAGGTCTCAGGGGAGCAGCTGACGGCACTTGGCCCCGCCAGCAAATGGGATGTGAGTAGCCATCACTGCTGGTCCTGACAAACCAAACTGATGCCGGCACCAAGAGCCTTCCCAGTCCCTCTGCAGCCACCCCCAGCCCTTCCTGAATCCTTGCCTGGCTGCTTGTGCACACGTGGAGTGACACATGGGTGCCTGTAGATGCATGGCAGCCCTGCACAGTCACACACACGCACAGAAAATTGCACAAGGGGCTTGAGAGCAGCAAAACCACATATTGTTGTCTGGGGGTAATGCACGGATGCAGCAGCACATGCATGTGTAACAGTAAAAAACAAGCGTACCAGACAAACACACACGAATGGTGCATCACAGCCAGAGCCTAGCAGGCAGCGGAACCAGGCATAGCCCTCCTCTGGCACAGGGGACAGATCCTGGTGCAGCCAGGGAGGGAGGGGGCTCTGCGCACACCCGTGCAGGGCCAGGAGGCACTGGCACTCCCGCGTATGCTTGTGAAGCGTGTCTAAGAGGTTCACATGCACATGTGTGCATGCTGCACCCCAACCACTCACAAGCAGAAACATTAATATTTAACGCAAGGTGTGAGTGGGACCTGCCCTGAATGCCGACAGCGCTGGCAGGGTGCAGGGGGGTGACCTTGGCTCCCCTCAGCACTGTCACAGAAGAAGCTTGCCGTGGCCCCGCTGTACCACGCCCCTTGCCTGCAGGCTCCGAGACCCCTGGCCGGCCGGGGGAAGCTGTCCTCCTGGGGCTCCACCAGGGGCTGTGTGTAGTGAGGGTCTCCCCCACACCCCCGTGCTCCCCACAGCCCCAGACTACGTTCATGCTGCAATCGATAGCTCTGGCTGCATCGGCAGTCGCTGCCCTGCTCTGCAATTCCCTTTCATCCCCTGCTCCCCCAGCAGCTCCTGGGGAGGGACCTGGGGGTGGGTGGGAGGCTGCCAGCCTGGCCCCTCACCCTGAAGCACACCTCTGTCCCTGCAGGGACAGGGGCCTCTTTCCCCCGAGAGTGCCCTGCCCTGCCCGTGCCCAGTCCGTGCCCCACAGCCCCTGACCCCACCCTGCCCCATCCTCCTGCACAAGCCTGGCCTGGGGACCCGCAGCCCTCAGTAATGCAGGGAGCTGGTGTCAGCACCTCCTTCCCCAGTACGTGCCCATCCCTACTGTTTCCCACTGCATCCCCTCCCCACTGCCTGCCCATCCCTGTCACTTCCTTGTCCCTACTGCATCTCTGTCTCCATCAGTTCCCCATCACAGCCCCATTCCCATCACATCCCCATCTCCACTGCATCCCCCTCACTGCTAGCAGGGGATCATGGAAGGGGGGTGAATTGGAAAGGGAAACTGAGGCAGAGGGAGGAGAGCTGCAGTGGCTCACGTAGCACTGCTGGGGGGAACCAGCCGTCCTGGCTCTCAGCCCTAGCTGAGATGGAAAGCCAGCGCAGAGCTGAGAAACCTCCAGAAATCTTTCTCAGGCTGGTGGGGGCTTGGGCGGCGTGTGCTTGTGTGTGCGTGTTCCTCTGTGGGCTGCAGTCTCTGTGCTGCTCCCTGTCCCCTCTCTGTGAGTACAGGCGGGTTTTGGGAGCTCCCCTTCCAGCTGCGGGGTTACTGGTGCCCCTCACCTGCCGGTGCTCATCTCGTGGTGAGGGAGGCCCACTGCCTCCCCACGGTGGGATGCGGGGCGCTACCAGGCCGATGAATATGTACGAGTGGGATTAACGATGGAGCTGGGGTGGAGGGGGAGCGGCGGCCTCGCCGGGGCCACCGTCCCGTGTGTCCCCCCCGCAAAATGCTGCTCTCCTGGCCGGAGGGGAAGTGTTGGGGGGCTGCCCTTCTCCCCCTCCCCCATTTATCTCTCCATCTCGCGGTCCTGCCGCGCTCGCTCCCTCTCTCTCTGGCTGGTGAAGGCACCCGGCTTTGAAGCTGCGTTGAAATATAGATAAGGGCGAAGGCAGCAGCCGTGCTCAAAGAGAGATTGAGGAGGGAGCCGGGGGACGGCCAGACCGGAGCAGGGGGCTGCTTCGCACTGCACAGCCCCCGTCCCCCCTCCCCGGGCTGGGCTGAGACCCCACAAATCCTCCTCCCCTGCCCACAGACCCGGGGCCGGGCAGCCCTGCCTGGACCGGCCAGTTCCCGGGGCAGAGGCAGAGCCGGGGCAGAACGGCCGGTGCCGGCGGCAGCAGCCCGGGCTGCCTCCTCTGCCGGGGCAGCAGGGGCGAGAGCAAGCTCGTGCAGAGCAGATTTACAGGCTAAGCCCGGCACACGCAGCATCAGGGTGATAAGGCAATAGATCCCGGAGACAGCAGT